TGCACACGCCTGGCTAACGGGCCCGGTCCTCGCAGCGGAGTGCTTGAGTGAGGTGTTCCATAAAGCACTGGCCTGCACGCCTGGCTAACGGGCCCGGCCCTCGCAGCGGAGTCCTTGAGTGAGGTGTACCACAAGCACTGGCCTGGCTAACGGGCCCGGCCCTCGCAGCGGAGTCCCTGAGTGAGGTGTACCACAAGCACTGGTCTGGCTAACGGGCCCGGCCCTCGCAGCGGAGTCCTTGAGTGAGGTGTACCACAAGCACTGGCCTGGCTAACGGGCCCGGCCCTCGCAGCGGAGTCCCTGAGTGAGGTGTACCACAAGCACTGCCTGGCTAACGGGCCCGGCCCTCGCAGCGGAGTCCTTGAGTGAGGTACTCCATAAGCACTGGTCTGGCTAACGGGCCCGGCCCTCGCAGCGGAGTCCCTGAGTGAGGTGTACCACAAGCACTGGCCTGGCTAACGGGCCCGGCCCTCGCAGCGGAGTCCCTGAGTGAGGTGTACCACAAGCACTGGCCTGGCTAACGGGCCCGGCCCTCGCAGCGGAGTCCTTGAGTGAGGTGTACCACAAGCACTGGCCTGGCTAACGGGCCCGGCCCTCGCAGCGGAGTCCTTGAGTGAGGTACTCCATAAGCACTGGCCTGAAAACTCAAGGGTGCCTGCTTGACCTCGTATCACTGCTGCCCATGCCTAGGCCCACTGTATGCAGCCCAGGTCCTTTTGCACGGCGAAACAAAACTAGATGCTTCCGTCCGTGCACGTCCGCGATTCCCATTAGGGGTTAAAGCAACGCACACCGTTCCACCTCAATGGTATCTGAAAGCTTGAGAAATGGACATTACGCTGGGAATGGGCAGATTGAAGGCAAACCGCGCCACGGATTCGGTGCTGCTGTCAAGCACAAGTTATTGCTGACCCGGAGGAATTTCCAGTCGTGCAGCTAACAGCGAAACGCGGGGAACACACCAGAGCCGTTCCAATCGCAGTCAGCTAGACTTGGTGGCTGAGACACCAGGTCGGACATCGAGCGGAGCTCGAATAATCAACACAGCTTCACTGTATTAAAAACAGCATCGCTATATACATACATATATATATATATATATATATATATATATATATATATATATATATGTATGTATATCGCCATCTGGAACAGCAGCATCGCATCCGCATCGCAACACCAGGCTATATGGAACAGCATCGCCGTCAAGGTACACACCAATGCCGAAATAAAACGAAGTAAACTATGACAGCAGATATTGATTCCCATATGTAGCATCATTATTGTGCATTTTGAAACGTCATTACTCAAGTTGTGATGAAGGGTAGGTTTAAATGCCAATTGCCTAGTTGTTTTTGTTTTTGTTTTGTTTTTTGTTTTGCTTGATGGCATGCAAGTTTAAAATTCGGGACCATTGTGCAGTACCGTATCAGGCATGGCTGCAAAAAAACGTCAAAACACAGGGTTCACATTTGTCTACATCACATTGCACGCAAAGCTAGCTGGCACATGACGTATACACCAACCACACACACTAAGGAGAAGGGTAAGCAGATTTCAGCTGGTACCAAAAGCACGCTTACAGGACACGAACACACCATTCCGAATATGAATTCAAGCCTATATACATACCGGCCTTTACAAACACCTCCTTGTAGCAGAGCTTTCCTGCTCCAACCTTAAGTCTTCTTGTTCGCTTCTTGCTCACATTATGCTGGTGGCACGCCATATACCACTTTCCGTAGCCATGCTGTCTCGTGCTGTCGTGGGTGCATTTTTGGATATGTACTGTCCAACCGTCTGTTTAAGGGAGACATTTGTGATTTACTTTAACAACTATTACTAACAATTCACTGAATGGAAGGTCTGCTCGGTTGCCGACAATCTGCCCTCGGGCATTTCACCCATTTATTCGTTGCTCGCAAAATTATTAGTGAAGCAATCGCTAGTGCTTGATTGCCAGTGGTACAGTCCAAACCGATCACACTTCTGTGCAGACCGAGAGCTCACCAGGTAACCCAGTGTTATATTACATTGGTGCCGTCCTATTGACCAGACGTATGGCGCAGACCGAGAGCTCGCCAGCCAATGGCAGCACGGCTGGATGAGCCACAATGCCACAGCCCGCACAGGTGCGGAGCATACACTCTTGTACGCGGCGACGTGCACTGCAGCTCTACGACTCAGTCTTTTTACAAAATCTGCGGACTGTTCCGTATTTAAAGCGGACATTGTCGAATGTTCTGCACATTGCCGAATGTTCTGCACATTGTGTGAGAAAATCCAGCAGTTGTGCAAGTGCGGCTTAATTCACTTGAGCCATATAGGCAAAACCTTTCGATGGTTACCCAGTCGCTTGGAGTGAACGCATTTGATGCCTCTAGTTCATCAGCTGAGTAAGCCAGTAGCTGCGGGCCATTTCCCACGTCAAGCACGTCATTTACAACGATTCTGAATAATGGAACTTCCTCACTGAAAGCAATGGCAAGAGAAAACTCCCTGGGCTGGCGTCCTTTTGCTCGACAAGTACCACGTTCCTTTTGGTATGCTGCGTCAAAAGGCAACATTCTCCGGCATTGGGACAGTTTCCTCCTCTAGGTATTGTTCCAAAAAGTCACTAACATGAATGGTTCGGACTTCATTCGCTCCCCAGTTCTTACATTTTTGCGGTCCACCAACGTGCACCGAAAGATATTGCATTTTGATTTGATATTGTCGACTCAATCAAGTTTCACCGCAGCTGTGGACACAACTTATACCAGTAGACAATGTTTTTACATCTCGAGGGTAGTTACCACAAGCTTCCATCGTTATTTGCTTCAAGCTCTCAGACAGACTGAAGGTATGTGTAGTAAGTTGTAGCCGTAGCTAGACGCTGTGCCGAAAGGTATGTGTAGTAAGTTGTAGCCGTATCTAGACGCGTGCCGAAAGGTATGTGTAGTAAGTTGTATCCGTATCTAGACGCTGTGCCGAAAGTCACCTTCACAGCAGCAGTCACGGCCGCCCTGGCACCTTCCGCCCAACGAACGCCTGAATGGGCCCCAATGGAGCACTGCCGTTAATGCGGTGCTTCGCAGCGGCGGCAATGACGGATTGGGGGTGCCGTAGAGATGGTTGAGAATTGCTTTAATTTGATCTAAATCGACTGAACGAGCCACTGTATTGCTCACCAATGCAGTAATGTTTGGTTCGAATCGACTGAGACCCTCAATTTGTGGAGCGTACCTGCAATTGATGGAAGCTGAAGGAACGTTTTAGTAAATGATGACCATGAGACATGAGCACAGTCTATAGTTGGGGGAAAACGTCGAGAAAGCCCTCTGTCTGAAACAATATTTGAGCCCAAGAAGATATAATTCGGAAGACGGACGTCACATTTCAACTTCGACATGATTAACCAGAATATCAAAATTCGATGAAACCTTGTCGATCAAAATGTTTGTTTTACCCTACAGCCAGCACCAGCTCCGTCGCGCACGGGACGGCGCTCGGAAAAGGCCCCGTGAACCCATGAGCAAGACCTCGCTTTAACACGCACCGGGTAGCCGATTGAGTACCCTTCGCTTGGATGAGGGTCGGTTTGACCCTCTGTGATCTAAAAAAAAAACTAAGAGAGCTGGAGACACCAAATTGCGCGGGTTGACCTGTATATGAACTTACTTGTAAGTGAGTTCTAGGTTCTTGGGTCATGACCCCCAGGTTAAACAAGGTCAAACATGGTTAAACTCCTGTTTGGTGTTTCAAGACCTCCCCAGACCCCTTCATACCACTCCATGAACCTAAACACCTATTCTAAGCAAAAGGTCACTGATGGCCTGCCCCATAGGTCGGCGACTTTACAAGATACATAGTTCTTATATTACAAGATTTGCTATTCAGTTACCTATAGCACAAAGTTTTATCACTGACCTGTCGCAGGTCATTGTCAGACCTTGGCTCTCAGCGAAGACAATTTCTAGAGAATCGTTCAATCTGGTGCAACAACAGGGCGTTATACGATATGACACATGTTTGAAATATAGGCAACCTAACCTAACCTATATAATAGGCAAAACGTTAATTATATTCACTATTTAATGGACTTAAGGTAAGGTATGAAGGTCGGACAGAGGTCCAAGAGGACCTGCTTTTTTAGTGAGAGCTTGTTCTATGAGTTGGTTTCTGGAGTGTTTTTTTTCGAAGTTATCAATAGCAGGAACCGCCGCATAATTTTCCATGGACTTCTCAAAAGTCAGAAAAGTTTTCTGGCCTAAGATGATAGGTCAACATTTTGATTCTGGGAACACACATCACCTACCTTAACCCTTGACGCCCATTCAGATACGAAAGAGCAATCCATTCTCGTAGGATTTCAATCTCCATGACTTTTTAAAGGGTAAAAAGGTCACTGACCTTGAGTGCACATCAGCGACTGTTTGCTTGGAGCAGGTATCTTGGTTCCAGGCGGCTGCGTGAGGAGGTCTGGTTGGCACCTTGGACAGCAATATAGGGTATAGCCTTGTTTGACATAGTATGACCCAAATATTATGGAACCTCAAATTATGACGCCCTGTCAAAATCGATACAGCCCAGCCTACCCTGTAAATCGATACAGCCCAGCCTACCCTGTAAATTTGGTGTCTCCAGCTCTCTTCACTTTTGAGGTGTCCGGAGGTCAAGCTGAACCCTGCATCCGAGTGAAGGGCATCCAACCAGCCACCTGAACGGGTCTCAAATAGGGCTCACATTCGCGCTGGGTTTGGCACCGCACAATCTAAATCCAAGCGACCGTTATCTGGTTGATAAATGATCATTCGGAAAGTAGGCGTGTGTTGCACATCTACCTATTACAGCGGCGTAGCGAAGTTAACATAAGATGAAGCATAAAACAACTATTTCGTGTATAAAGCGCGGGTATGGTTGTACACAGCAAAAACGGCCACTTTCTTTACGTCGTATTTGGTACTTGACAAGCACTTAATATTGGTTGTGTGTGTGTGTATGTGTATGTGTGTGGACAGGTGCTGGGCCTGATGGTGGCGTGTCTCTCGCACGACCTGGACCACCGGGGCACAAACAACGCCTTCCAATCCAAGACGGACAGTCCGTTGGCAAAGCTCTACTCTACAAGCACCATGGA